GGAAAGTGGAAAGGCGTGATTGAAAAGAACGACCCTAGCGACCTTAACAATGACGCATGAAGTTGCTGCATTTTTGCGCAAACAACGGACTGTACATTATGAACACCTTCATCCAGCATCGAATCATGCATCAATATGCCGGGTACAGGGAAGCTTTGCACAGAAGTCTATGATAGATTTGACGATTACGTCGTCTGACTTTCGACGCTATATAATGGAGAGAGGCGCAGAGCTATCAACTGACCACCACTATTGTTGGCATATTGCGCTTTAAAAAATGGACTACTACGAGATGATCTAGTAGCAGAAGCAGCCAGAGAATCAAATGAGAAACATTATCTTCGGTGGACACGAGAGCAAAATTTGCAAACGACATCGCACGACGGTTTGAACTGATCCCGGTGATGATAACTGATGTGGAAACCGAGTAACAGCTCTTTAAAAACGGCATGCTCGAGGATGCCGTCGAATGCTGCGGATATATAATGGTTGGTCTGCTGCTTGGAGGTCAGAAAAGATCTTTATGGTGGGAACGAGAGGCACAACTGGCAGGTAAATAGAAGAAAAAATCGTTCAAAAAATGGCTTGGATACAAAAAGCCTTCTACTCGCGCGTGATATGTCGAAGCGTGCAATGCGGCAGCGAAAACAGTGACGAGAGCCAAAGCTGATTCCTGGGAGAAGGTCGGTGAGGTGTTGGAGTCGACTTTCCACACGGCAGCAAGATATTCTGGTAGATCAATTGGTAGATCAATTGCCGGCTTCAAGGTGGAAAGAAGGACAGCTTAATAGTGTTGAAGGACAAGTCTAGATACCTTCTTACCGAGAATAAGGACATCCTTCGGCGATGAAGAGAGTACTTTGGCGAACTCTTTAACCCCGAGCAACCGCTGGAAAACTCGCCTGTAGAGCAGCAGGGAACGGATGTCACAACTTCTGTAGATGAAATCACTTTACCTATGATGAGCTTGAAAAGTGGCTAATGCTGCTGGAATTGATGAAGTCCTCCCTGAAATATTTAAAGCAATAATCGAACAATGCATGTGCAGGCTTGCAGGTGTCTGTGATGCTGCAACGGGTACGAGGAAGACACCAGCGAACTGGCGAATGGGAGTTGCAGTGCCCCTGTTCAAGAAGGGAGACTACAGAGAGTGTTCCAATTATCGGGACACTGTCTCATTGAGATTCCCCGGGAAATTTTCACGATGGTGTTAGAAATGAGGTGTCGCGGAATGACTGACTCCGCGATACAAAATGGGCAATGTGGCTTCCGTTCTGGTCAAAGCACATCTGACCAGACATTCGCTCTATACCAAACCGATGAAAAATCATGGTAGCTCGCGCGTCCCATATATAGCTTTGCGGACCTAGAGGAAATCTATGACAGGATCCCGCGTAACAATCTATGAAAATGTCTGTGGACGTACAATATCGACAATCAGTTGCTACGGACTATCCAATCACTATATCCTGATGGCAGATGCTGCGTCAGAGTAAATGGCAAAAGGTTGAAATCTTTCACTGTTGGCACTGGTCTCCGCCAAGGCTGCTACCTGTCCTTTTTCCCTTTGTTTTGTACATGGATAGGATTGTCTGGAGCTGCCAAGGCGATAAATGTATTGGTGTAGGAGATGTGGAATCGGGAAGGTTGTTGTTTGCAGACGACCTTATTTTATTAGCATCTTCTGAAACTAATCTACATTTCTCCCTGGAAAGGTTCGCGTTCGAGTGCGACGTGGCCGGCATGCGTGTGAACGCCTATCTAAGTCGAAAAGACTAGTCTTTCTCGTTCTGCTGCCCGTTGCTCTCTCCCGATTAACAGAGATGCAGTGGAGAAGATGGAGAAGTTTTAGTACCTCAGGGTCGGGTTTACTGATGATAGAAAATTGGAGAAAGAGATCGACCAGGGGGATTTGAGTAGCCACTGGCGTTCGGCGTGAACCAGCCCGAACCATTGTGACTAAGGCAGAGTTGAGTCTGACGACTAATTTCTCGATGTTGAACTTGATCATCAGTCCGATGCTCTCCTGCGGTCATGAGTCGTGGACTGTGACGGAAAAATTTCGTTCCCGGTTTAAAGCAGGTGAAATAAGATCTCTTGGACGAGTCGCTGGCCTTACGCATCTCGACATGGTGCGGAATAGAAAATCTGCGAGAGACTTGGTGTACAGCCGCTGCTTCTTCAGATTGACAAGTCACAGCTGCGATGTTTTGGACACGTATTGCTGGTGCCTCCTGAAAGAAAGTCGAGACAGCCATTTCCTGCTCAGCCGACCGGTAGAAGGTCCAGAGGACGTCCAGGATTAACTTATATT